AGGCTTGAATTTCCTCTTCAGTTCCTTGGGCTTAATACATACAGATAAGTAATGGAAATGATAGTTCCTTTCATTCCTAAAACTGAGGTCTAAGAGAAATAATAAACTCTATATTAAGATCCAACAGCAGTGATTTAGACATAAGAGAAAAATAACACTTTTAGTTCTACTTTATGTTATGCAGTGACAGGATCAATAGGATCAAACATCTTGGAGATTGTCAGGAGGCACGTGTTCTTCATAGGATTGCTGGGAATCATAGTTGACTCAATAGCATATAACAACTCTGAGACAAAACTTATATTGGGATTTTTCAGTCTGATTTTTTTTTATGCTTAGAAAAATCATACCATATATCCTAAGTTTTGGATTCAGTTTCTTACTAATAATGTGCTCTTTTATCTGTTTATAGGTCCAGGATACAGAAGCTGAAACTCTTTCAGGTTTTTTGAATGGCATCCAGTGGATTCTTGAAGAAGTGGAATCTAAGCGTGCACGATGACCCTCCTGTTTTTGGACTTGGCATTTCTACTGTGGTTGTGATGTGGATGGATGTTTGCTCAGGTCAGCTCCCTTTGCTCTGCTTTTGTGCAGATGGGCTGCATGTTGAACAGTGGTGCCTGCTGTGTTTCTCCATTTGATTTCTACTTTTTACCTTAAATCAATTACAAGGAAAGAATTTTAGTGCTTGCATTTATTCCCAAAATGAACCTTTTAAGACTTTTTGATAATTTTTATATTTTAAAAATATTAAATTCTAGAGAAAAAAAGACCCTAAAAATATGTTTGTGGCCTGTCTCATTACTTGTGATTTTTCACTCTTTTTTATCTCAAAGGTTACCTTAGTGGAGAAGAGCAAATTTGATATCTTCCAGAGGTCTAGAACTGGTTGTCAGGGAAGAGGTTATCATCTGTTCTTAAGAAATAACTGTTGAAGACAGGAATATTAATTGAACTTTGATTTAATATTATGACCATACAATTGCATGTAATTCAGGGGAATAACATTTCTTGTAAATTCCTGCTATTTTCAGTTAAGTTTGAAAGTTGATAAGTTACTAAAACTGAATGCTCTTGGATACTTATAGGGAAAACCTTCCAGAGACATATATGTACCATTTCATCAAGGATATTATAAGATAAAATTATGGAAAAATAATTCTCAAAAGCATAGACTTAAAAACATTAAGCAGGCTTTTCCTCATTCTGTTATTTTTCCCTTTTGAACACTTAAATCCTAAATCCATTAGATGGGAGAGAGCAAAGTGGACACTCATGAACTAGAGGACATTATGCTGAGTGAAATATCTCAGTCACAAAGGGACAAATATTGCATAGGGCCATTATTGTAAAACAGGACTGACATTGGGGTTGAAGGAAGACAGAGAAGAAGGGGAGGAACGATGTATA